CCTGTTTTTATAGTGGTTGTTCGCTTAGGATGCTGAACACTAAGGGTAAACGTCGCATAAAATTGAAGTAGTAAAAATTTAGCTATCCTTTGGGGCTATGCTTAAAGCATTGTTGCTCATTCATTCTTGTTCTTCTCTTTTTCCTTTTGTACTTGGCCCGCTACTTTTACACAGAAGTACTCACTCGTTGATACATCCCGTTCCCAGTAGCCATGCTCCCCCAACCCTTTGTGCGCGGCAAAAGCTGAGGGGTCGTCGTTCCCGCCCGCAAGGGATTAGGGGAACGTGACTACTGGGAACGAGATTGTGGTTGGCATGAGTGATGTGTTGGGTACCTTTTTACGGCCTTGGTTGTACTGTGTTGATAACAGTGATTAAAAGTTAACTATGGCAAAAGTGGTCTTTATTTAGCCACAAGATAAATACATTATGTGTAAAACGTATTACGTAAAAAATACCTGATGAAAAACTAAAATTTGTCATGAATGCCTCCCCCAAGTGCGCAATACATTAATGTAGAGCGAAGTATATAAATTTAGTTTAATTTCAGAGCTGAGCAAAGAGTTTCCAGCAATCTGATTGGTCGAGCGGTTCCTTATATGACGCTATATAACCGCTCCACGCGTTTTATATAAAAACTTAAAATAAAATGTTAATAAATGTTACTAAAATGTTATGATTTTAGAAATTTCTCTGTTGTTCAGCTCTGAAATTATACTAAAACAATTGTTCGCCTCAGGTTCGGTGAATATTGTCAAATAATCCCTTCGACTTCGTCTCGGGGATTATTCGACGACATTCACCTCGCCTTCAGCGAATAATTGTTAAATATTAAGGACCTCTATGTAAACCACTATTGTGATGGAGCTTCCTAATAAAAGATTGTTATTTTTATTATATACATATATACATATATATATTTATAAAACACCACATCAACAAGCCAATTCATACTTACCATAAAGGGATTGATGAGTGAGTGTTATGAGCCATTGTTAAATCATTTACATGAATGTTTTTCTTGGACGTTTCCCTTTCACCTTTTTCAGTTTGTCAGGATGTCCCAGAGTGAAGCATTTATCAAAATCTCCCCTGTCAAAATCACCAACCGCAAAGAAATCTGGCTTTCTACATTCCCCCACGAACAAGAGTTTTGTCACAAGCATTCCAGAATCCAATGTGATCGGCACACGCAGTACCTCAAGGTTGGGAAGGTTCGATAAGTAAATTCTTCAGCGGAAGTAACCATTTTAAAAAATATTTAAGTAGGGCGGGGAAAGTACAAGAACAAAATTGAGAAGGAATCTTACGTAAAAATGTTGTTTATGAAAAGAAAAATTAAGGGTTTTTTTTCCCACATTATTTACCGAACGAGAAAAAAATAAGAGATTTCACTGAGGGAAAAGATCCTTGAGGAGAAATTAAGAGGAGAGAACTTATTTGTTTCGTATAGAATCCTGAAGAATGAATTTCTGACACTTTTGCGACGGTGTTTTTTCCTAAACATACTCAGACGATCGGTAAAAAGTGTCACTGCTGCTATAAAATATTATAATTTTTTAAACGGAGATGTTTGTTTTGTCACGAGCGCGAATTGACAAATAAATGACGGTCCAGTAGGCTGTTACGATCAGCAATATCGAAACAGTCGTGAAGGTAAATTGAAATTTTAATGTTATGACCATTTCTTTTCAGGCGAGTTAGCACCAAGGAGGAAAAGCCTGACATCACCAAATACAAAGGTAAGTCTCACGCATACGGGAAGGGTCGGGAAGGTCAGACGTGCGCTCGGCTAAGATGAGCCTCTTGAGCAATTTTAAATTCAGTGTCGACAGTCATCCGAGATTGATTTAGTTTTACTTAAGTTTGTCCTGTGATTGGTCCAGAAAACTGGCGCTATCCTTTGCATCAATCAAATATGCAAAACTAAAAACAATCGCGGATTGGTCAATCGCGTTTCCCGCGCTTTAAGTAGTTTCTTTGTTTTCACTTTCAGTTTTCATTGGGTACTAATAATGTAACCTTTGTTCTGATTGGTCGCTGGGATATTTTGGCGGGGATGCTAACAGTTTCCTTAGCCTGTGCATCAGTCTATCGAAACTTGTACCTCAAATAAACTAAACACTAAAACTCAGAACTGGGAACGATTGACGATTGTTTTCTTTTAGTCGCAGATAAAGCCATTCAGCACGTGTCACCGTTCTCGTTCCCATGGCCTCTCGGTAGTGGGTTTCCTTCAGCGTTTTTAAGCGAACTCAGGACTTCTATCAGCCGTAATAACAGCGCTGCACTGTCCAGTGAGCGACAGCGAATGATGGGTTGGGATGTCAACGACGTTGCCAGTCACATATCGTGTCTAGGTTGTGGAGATCAAGCCAAAATTTTCATTGAACAGGTAATTAAACATCTTTCTCTGAAGTGTGTTTCCTTTTGAAGAAAAATTAAACGAAAGTACAGATTTTACGACTAAACACAGAAGGTGACAAGTCTCTACGAAAAGCTTTTGTGACAAACCGCGCCGTGTGTACTATTTCAAAACAAGTCGTTGCAGATCACTTTTATTGCAGCGATTATGCGAAAAAATTCAAACCCGTTCGAATTCGCGCCTCTTAGGTCGAGTACAAAATTCTACAGCAAGGACGAAGATTTTCACGAGAACTTTTCTTGTCGCTCCAAATAAACTTTTCCTGAAAGTTACCCTGTGCATTGTCGAGAAGCGTGTTTAGACCGTCAGAGCTCGTACTACTGAATTAGAGGGTTTTGTTTAGATTATGAGTGGGAGCAGCGAATACCTGAAGACTAACGCAACCAACTTTTATCCTGTTTCTTGCAGCAAATCGATGGAGAAGCCTTCCTCTTGCTTAACCAGAGTGACATTGTGAACATTTTAAAGATCAAGCTTGGTCCTGCGTTGAAGATCTACAACACCATTCCAAAATTTTGATGGAACCATTCTTAGCTCTTTTTACAATGTAGACAATTCATTCGCCCCAGTCCCTAATGGCTGTGAATAGCCGGGCACTGACATACGTAATCTGCAGTGGGCTTCCCTATGAAAATTCATTTGATAGTATCAAAACGTCAATCAAAAAAAAGCATTGAGAAATCTCGCATCAAGAAAGAATTTTTAGAACTCCTTTGAGTGATCTACTCTTAAACATTAGTTAGAAACAAATGCAATAAACCTCCCTTCGTTCGACAGATTTTGCGTTCGATTTTACCTTTTTTGCTTGTTAACTTGCAAGTTAGCATCTATAGATTAAATACATGGTATGGTAGATTCAAAACAAGGTAGACGGAACTCTCTCTTAAAAACATTCAAGTAGTACAGCGTATCCGAGTAATCCTCACAGAGACTTCTATTAAAGTGTGAGTTTGGGTCTTTGAATTCGTTTGTGTGTTTAATAGACGTATGACCTATTAATCGAGAGATATCTAAACATTGTCGTCACAATTAAAAAAAAAAGAAAAAACACCATATAAGACTGATAGCCACTTCAAGTTCGTGAAGAGGGAAGAGGGACCGGTGGGTGAGACCCCGGGAGGCTGGAGGGATGGAAGAGTCGGGAGACAGGAGATGAAAGGGCGGGAGGCGACAGAGAAACACGGAAAGTGAACATTCCTTAATAATTATTCAGCTTTTTTTTCTCGAAAAAGAGTGGGAGGCGGGGCCAATCTTGAAGACTACACGCCAAAACATCTAATATCTTCACCTGCAATATTTCACATGCGTGTTGTGAAGTACTATTGATAACGAGGGCCTGTTAGTGGCTAGGCGTGGATTACTTACTATGCATTGGTGTTACCGACAATAGATAAAGCACACATTTATTAATAAATATTAATATCTTTTTTTCTATCTAGATCTTAATACTAATTTTTATTCTGAGTAAATTGACATTTTGGAATTTTAGAAATTTAGACGATTTCCTAAACTAACGATATGCAACCGCTAGATTTCATTTAAAATTGAAGAAAGTTATTATCATTATTACTAACATTTATATCATGATTATCATGTCTATCAGTATTATTATGGTATCACTATCATCATCATCATTATTATATTATTATTACCATTCAATATTATTATCGTTATCATTATCACCACTGTCATTATTATCATCATATCAGTCAACGACCTGTTTTTGCCTTGATTCTCTGGAAGAAGTTGAAACATCTTTAACTATACCTGCAGACCCCCAGTCGTTGGGTTATTTTTTCTATTTTATGCAGCTTTGCATCGAAAGCGATTTTTACCCCAATCTGATTGGCCAATTTTCCGTCGTCGATAAGAGTACAGACAACGCTGCTCTCGTAAACGTGACACACAATGGTCACGCACTAAAGGATCGTTTTTGTTTCACGTCAATGTTGTGGTATAAAATCGACAGTGGTTTAGCGTGGTCTCTACTGATATCGACAACGATAGTCGTCATCAATTTGTTGCAGATTCATTCGGCTGCGCCTCGTGAGTCCACAACGTTTTGGCCACTGTGATGACGAATGTCGTCGTAGCAGACTACGATTAACCACTGTCGATTTGTTAATCAGCCTTGAAAAAAATCTTGGGACATTAAAAAATCCGATCAATTTTCCTTGCGATTAAGTTCATCCTTTTTATGGTTCTTAATATTCTGTATCCGGGGACTTGCATCATGCATGGTCATATTCGATTTCCCGGATAATTTACGCGCGCGCAACCGCGTGAGAAGTCTACGGCTTTGCCATTTTGGGTATTAGCACGTTCGAAATGTCAGGGTTTGGAAGATATCCTTTGAACATTCCTTCACTTACTGAGGCTTTTGCAAATTTCCAGCAAAATGTTTCAGGCTCGAACCAAAGACGGGACCGACAAGACTATGATGACAGGCGCTTTCGAGATCGTGATCGTGATACAAGAAGGGACGATGATTATGGTCGAAGAGACAGCGGTGGTGCTCGAGGGAGATCTTCGCGAGATAGGTTCTCGCCTGAAGTAAGCTTTACCTAATTGGATGAAAAGGAATATGGAAAAAGTGGTAATTCAGCGTTAGTTGTAACAAGAAGCGTCTACAATTTCCTGCACGTGCGTTAGAATAATTCATACCATAACTGAACAAAATTCCACGCGAGCTGCATCAGTGGTTAAAGTTCCGTTTCAAAATCAGAAGTTGAAATTGTCTTAAGTTAAGGAATATGCACAACAGATAGGTGTGGCCGTGTGTGTAAAGTTTTCCTCGTCATACCCAAAATTTATATTTATTATTAGCACCGCGCTATCACCGCCAAAAACAGATGTTTAATGCACTGTTTACAATCGCTATACGACAACGATTTACAGACTTGCAGCGAGAGCTCTTCCTTGGTACTTGTACTTCCTCTTTCTATTTACAAGTTATCAAGATCGAGTTATCACTTCACACTGAAGATAGAGATGTTGTTTTTCTGTCGCTAGCTATTTATGCTGGCTTTTTATCCATCTGATTACTTTTGCACCCCACGGCTTTGGAATTTCAATTAAAATATTTGCCTAGATGGGCTATAAACTTACCTTCCGCGAGTTGAATCAGCTATTATGGAATTTTATCTCGTCACAACCAATATGAGAATTTGACGAATTATTTCCCAAATTTATACAAATTTATGGCCACGTCCTCTACCTGTCACAAACAATTCCCAACTGTATTTTCATGCTAAATGAAAACATTTTGCAGCCCTTGGAAATTCAAATATGTGATTGGGCTCCTTATAATACTGTCTAGTGTATTGCTGCAAATCATGGTCACACATTATCTGGTTGTCTTAAAGCCATTGTTTGAAATACCAGCTTTAGAAACTCTTTATGGAGGCAAATTTGAGTGAACATTTGCATGTCAACATGGCTGATAAAAGAAAATTATCTTGCAGTAACCACACCAATGCAGCACCACAGTTTCTTTCGAAACCCTTTAATTCTTTTTCTGGAGTAAAGCTTGATACACAACCTACTTTTTTGCTATCTTGTTCATGGTCAAAACTCCAGACAAGCCCCGGTTTGATCCAGTCCTGGAAGGGCCATCTGGACTTTCTACTTTTGTTTTTTTTTGTCTTTTTTTCTCATTTCTGATGTAAAATACTTACCATGGGTCAAGTAAAATGGTCAATCATGAGGTCTTTGGCTTTTGAGAAGAGGTTTTTTTCTGAGTAGAAGTACTATGCTTTCATGGAGAAACATAGGGTTTCATACTGAAATCCCATTTTTTTTTTTTTTATCAAATTTATTTGGACCACTTACAGTCCAGTTGCCACATAGGTATTTTTTGTTTTCAAAACTCTCAGCATTTGGACTTATGATCATAAGGAATATCCAATCCTTGCAAGTTTTGAACATGGTCCCTGAAGTCTGCAAGTTAATTGCAAAATCATTTCCATCATGCTCTCTGTGAGGCACAAGAGTTGGGTTCAGAATATAAGAAAATATTTCCTAGTGCGTGGGAGAAATAAATATTCTGGGACCCAATATACACCTGTCTCCATATGTTTGACTTAATAATGCAATGGGTATTTAATGTTGTGTGACTGCTTGACTTTGGTGGGGTTTGTAGCTGAAAGATCTTATTGAACACTGTCCTTTGCATTTGGATCTCTCAAGATCAGCTGTGAAATAGAGATTATGTAGCCATCATTTTCTATATCCATAGACACCATGCATTGAATTTAGCCATAGACATTTCCATTTGAACAAGTTGAAAATCGTGCTGGTTTTATTTTGTAAGTACAACTGATGTATGGCAACATATATTTAAAACACCACCCAAACCATCCAATTATTGATCATGTGCTTTCTTTGTCAGTTGTGTCTTCAGTTGGAATTCATCATTGCAAATTTGTTTGTCTTAAATCAGTCAGGAACAAATAAGAGTCATCAATGCTTTACTATTCTCTTTTTTTTGTTACTGACAACATTCTTGCTTCTATTTTATTCCTTTAAATACAGCCTTCCTATTCATCATATTTAGATGAGCATCAGCAAGGAAGCCAGTCAAATCTTGTGAGTTATCCCTTGGGACACTTGAACAACTCAAGATCTGATCGTGGTAATAACAGGAATGATAGAAATCGTAATCAGAACAGGGACCGATATCGGAACAACAGCAATAATAATCGGTCTCAAGGCAACCGAAGTTCTTCCAATCAGGGACCTGGAATTTTGGGTGCTAAGCCTGGTGATCGTTCTGTACCAGAGCTTCCATCCAATCCTTTACAAGTTCCAGGTCTGTTGTGTTTTTAGCTCCTTGTTAGTCAAGTTGTGCTGTAACGATCCAATGCATTGCTGTCTTATGGTTCGCAGTCTAACCCTATTGGCTCTTGTGTTCAGTTTGATTCCAGCTAGAAACAGTTTATATAAAACTGTGGCTCCTGTTGTTTTTATCCTCTCTGTTAAGTGATGTTGTGTTCACTTCCATTTATGTTTTCTTTAAGTGTAACCTTCTAGTTTCTTGCACTTCTTTTTCTTGCAGTCACTTTGTGGTTGAAATGCTCTATGGTTTCTTCGTGACTTTGCTTTGTGTTGCAGTCTGTCATTGTTGTTTGAAAGAATTCTGGTGGTGTTATAACATGAAGGTCAAAATTCACATTCACTTGTGTACATCACTGAAAAAATGTAACACTTTGTTTGGAGACTTAGTTCTCTTACTGAAGGAATTGATCAGTTTTGGTTTATATTCACATGCCTAAATAAGGTGTGAGGTTCACTTGATTTTGAATCCAACCAGAACAGTGACTCTCTGCCCAAATAATTTGAACTCAATGCAGGAGTTTTTTATCCCCTTAAACTTAAGTCATCTTTTACATCAACATTTTGTTCCTAGTTCTCATTCTTTTGTTAGGCTACAAAAGGGAATGTGGGGTTGGAAATGGAAGAAAATTTCAGCTCCTTCATTGCTGAAGCTCAGAATTGTGGCCAGAATTGGCCTCTTACTTGTACATTGTGACATTGGTGTACAGAATGCAGAAGTATTGATTCAGTAGCTTTTTCCTTATGCCCCTGCTGATGATGTAAGAAAAGGCTGTGCTTCAAAAAGGGGTCATGAGGCAAAAAACCAAGCATAAGAGCCTCGTAGGCTAAACAAACTGCAGTAAGAAGTCTGACAGGCAACAGTAGACCACCGGTAACTGGCTTTTACTGAACTCCTTGGAATGTGTCATTTTTCAGCCCAACTTTTGCAGATCTTCATGTCTCTCGTCATTGAGCACAGAGACAGTGAAAGATTTTTGACACTTATTGGATAAGCACATGCCTTTACTTCAGTCCCCTAAAATGCCCTTTGTGTAATTCATTGGTACAAGCAAACCATTGTGCAATTGTAACAGTGTCTAATGTGTCCTCACTTGATCTGTGACAGTGCATGGGTTGGCAGTTGTTCACAAGATCCTACTTCATGTTGCTTCTCGACTAGGACCCTAGTCACTGAAGGGTAGTAGTCGTACATAATAACCCTCCCCCCCACTTCACCGCCTAAGCAATGATGTACTTGTTAGTGCTTTGGATGTGACATGTTTGGGAATCATTTTAGCGTGCCATAAATTCAGCTGCTGTGTCCTCTGAACTCAAAGGGTAGAGTGTGCTATCCTACAACAAGTAGTCTCGTTTTCAGTTAGTAACTGGTAAAATTTACCAACTGTAGTACCTCTTTTTACTGCCTATTTTCCCTAGAATTCTTGAAATTCAACAGGTAGAAGGATTGCTTTACTGGTTTGAAATTTCTTTTCTTTTTAAGGTAGAGCACTGACAAAGTTAAATATGTCTGAGCTCTTTCAGCTCATTAATATGAATACATCCAGGCTGGCAAAACCACTTCTCTTCTATGGTGGAAGCTTGGCCACTGGTGAATCTTAAGGATACAGTAGACCTTCACGGGTGTCCTTTCCAAAAAAGAAATTAATGCACTGTTTTAATTATAACCACCATAAACTATGTATCAGTGGGAAGGTTTTGAGATGCCATATTCCACAAAAATTCTGTCATTTTAGCTAGATCTAAGCATGAACTGAATGGGGTGTGACAATTCAAATTGGACAATGTTTCTTTGAGCAAATTAATTGCATCTCAAATCTGACCTCATGATCAAAACTTCTGCACAATTTCAATCAGGAGGGGTTGGTCTTCAAAACTATGTGGGTTTTTTTTTATATTCTTATCTGTTACTTTGGAATTTATTTGTAAAGTTTGCTGATCCAAAATCTTACTGATATACATTACATCTAAGGCCATTGTAGGAGATCCATTATAAAAAAAAAGAATTCCCCCACACATTTTTTTGGATTGGTATCTTGGTAGTCTTTGTACCAAATTTTAAGGCAATCCTTTAAGTCTTCATGCCCTATTCATTCTTTCAAAGAAGGCACGTTAGTGTAAAAACGAAGTAGGGGTGTTTTGCTTCCATAGTTTTCCCAACAATTCATGCCTTTGAGTGACCACATGTCATGTTACGTCAACACTGAAAAACTCAAAATGCTGACGGCCAATAGAAACATAGATGTGTCCTGCAGAGACCCAGGAGACTCGGCATAAACACATGCTACCGGTGACATACCTTTAGTTCAATTCTGCTCAACAGCAATTTTGATTTCTATTCTTCTTTTCAACTTAAAAGCGGCCATAGCATGCATTGGGAAAACTGTGGAACTTGCTGATTGAGTGGGAGCAGCACCGCGTACTTTTACTTGTTTCTGTGAGATTATTTTGCCATTCCTACTTTTTGTGCTGACGGCCAGGCTTCTTTTTTACTTTCATCTTTTATTTTTGTCCATTAAAACTCTGAGTTTAAACTCAGGGAGAGCAAAGAACTCCATGTGAAAGGAAAATCAGGAGATGTAGGTGATTACAATTTAAGGACCGCGATGTTTTGCCTCAAGAAACCCTTGGGAAGTCATTAATGTTGACATGTTATCATTGGCTATTTACGCCTTGGTGGGCTGAAGAAACCAGTTTGAAAGTATGATTTTGTAAATAGCTCATGTGCATTTCAATATTTTACCAACATTTTTCTTGGAAATCACAGTCAAAATAATAATGCTTAGTTTGACATGAATAAAAAAAATTGGCCCTGGAAGATCTACTGTATCCCATTAAGAAGAAATTGGTCATGTTGATAGAAAAGGGTGATTGGTTCATCAGACATGTAGTCTTAAGATAAATTGGAGGGGTCCTGCCTCTTCTTGGCCTCGTGGACCAAAATTTTAGAGTTAAGATGGTACCAAAAAAGAAATCTGCCAACCTCTTTGGTGAGTTGTTATTTCTGTCAACCTTTGGAGATGAAGAAAAAATGCATTTTAGAGTACAAAAATATGTCTCCAAATTTGGCTACTTTGTACATGCACTTGAAAAAGTACACACATACATCAGTAGTAATTCCAAAACAGTGGATCAAATCCCTATCTGGCATTGCCTTAACCCTTTAACTCCCAGACATGACTAACCTGTATCTTCTCCTTATGATATCCTTACATCCAGCAAACAGGTAATGAGAAAATCCAAACTTATCAGGTAGAAGTTGTCTTGACTCAACAACAAATTCTGGTGATTCATTTTTGAAGGAAACTGGTACTAGCTAGAAGAGAGAATTAAGAATTAGATGTTGGGAGTTGAAGGGTTAACATCAAAATATTAATGTTTCAGATCTTCTCTACCATTGCCAGCAGGAAAACATTAAATACAAATTCAAGGAAGGAAAGGCTAATCATGATAACATCAAAATTATTCAGTGAATCAGTGATTTTGTGTGGAGTTAAACACCTGATTGCAAGGATACATGCCTCCATGTATTGAGATTTTTCTAATTGTGCTGTAGTTAAAGTTCTGAGTTTCTTAGTCTACCACCAAAAATGATATTAGAGGCAACCAAAAAATTGCTCATATCTAGAAACAAAAATGCCAGTATTGAAATTTCCAAGCTTTGTTTGATATCTCATGGAGACAGAAATACCTAAATTGTGCCTTTAAAATAACATGTAGTCAATTTGTAGTAGGCTACTTGAGTTTCACGATTGTGCCTCCCTTAAATGAGGAGGTAAATATCAGACCCTTCAGTTGTAGTCATAAGTGTTCTTTCCCTATATTTTCTGAAATTCTGGTGTTGAGTTCAAATTCCCAGTAGAGGTGCACATAAAAAACTAATGAAATGAATGTACATGCACGTATATGTAGATTTGGTGGATTTTGTACTTACTGTGAGTATCAAAGCTATGTTTCTTCAGGCCTGTTCAAATAGTGCTTTGTTCCAAATCTAACTTTTCATTGTGCATCATACAGCTTTGGGTCTGTCAGGAGGAGGAAATAACCAGACAGCCGGGTTGACAGCACAGTTGGCTCAGCAGCAGCAGCAACTCATGGCAATGGTGCAGACACAGTCACTACTGGCTGCTATGCAAGCCCAGGCTAATGCAAATGCTCAAGCACAAGTTCAGCAGGCCAAGCGTGCCATGCCTAATTCTCTAGGAGGGCTACTACCCACACCTCTGATACCAAGGACTGGGGGAAGAGACATGCAACGGCAGAACCGTAAGCGCAGGAATGATGGATGGGGTGGAGGAGGTAACTTTGCAAACAAGAGAGACAGACCAGACCGCAATCGTGGTCAGCAAGGTTTCAATCGTGGACCAAATTTTCAAAATAGAGGCAGGCAGTTTGGAGGAGGAGCACAGAACCAGCAAGCAAAGAAGGCTACCACTATAACTAAAGAGGAGACCAAGAATGAAGCTAACGAGGAAGAGGTTGAGGAGGAAGATGTTGGAGAAGGAGGTTAGTCTGGTACCAGATTTGTTGTTAAAATGAATGATGAAGAAATTTTACTTGGCTCTTACAATACAATTATACAAATTTTATTCACCATTCTTAAATAATTACTTTTTTATGACAATATTTTAATAGATGGCATAAGGGCCTCCAGAAACCACATGGCTTAGACAGGGAAGGCCTTGTTACTAGAAAAAAACATATGTAAATTTAAGCAATACCACCACTCCTAATTGTCATGATATCCATTGATTTTATGAATACCTTTGAAGATGTCTTTTAAAGAAGCAAAAATTTCAGAATTCTTAATATCATTAGCGTGGGGAATTCCAAATTTTAGGTCCTTGGAAAAAGTACAGAAAAATATTTACTATTGGTTCAACATTGATGAGATTAGATGGGTCTCTCAATTTTTATGTTCTTAGTTGACTAGTCATCATTCCTGCATAGAAATTGGTTTAGTGCAACCATGTCTGGCAGTGAATCAAGGGATCTTTCATTTCATATCAGGTGATAATGGGCAGGAGGTTGAGGAAGCACAAGAAGAGGAAAAGCAAGAGCAAGACAGTGTTGAGGAAAGACCTCATATGAATGAATTTAATCAGCCACCTCTTCCCAAATCTACAAACTTCATTGGAGAAGATGTTGATTCTTTGATGATCTCTCTGTATGATAGGAAAAGAAACAAGTACATATGTCAGGAATGCAAGATCATTTGCAACTTGCCAATGGTATGGAGTGATGATGAAATTATCTCTGTTTCATTCTTTTTAACCTGGTAGACTCATGTAATTAATTACTGCTCTTGATTTCCCTTAAAATTGTTTAGAAAAATCAGTGTCATATCAAGAAATCAAATTCTAGCCAATAGGTTTTCGATTTCTCATCACCTCACTTGTAAGTTGGATTGTATTTTGATATTGTTTGGAAAAGTTACATGTTGACCACTTTGATTAGTTGTGTGGTCAAAGTGACCACTCAAAGTCCTGAATGGACTTCCACTGTAACCCTTTTAATTCCCAAGATCCGATTATTACATTCTAGCTTTGCCCTTTAGCTCCCTATCAATCAGTTACAGTAAATTTGGTGTTTGAGTATTCTCATTACCTATTTGCTGGACGATGTATGGTTTTATAAGGAAGTGTTACAATATACAAGTTACCTCGAGGAGTTTTATAATTTAATAGTAAATCAAACCCTTTATAGGAAATTATCTTGCTAAGACAACTCAAGTGTTGCCAATGAGAGTTCCCCGTTTTTTTAGACTTTATTAAATAGTACACAAAACTTTCTGTTACATGGTCATACTTTGAATAAGGTATTTCCTGTTTGTGTAATTTTTTTAAATACATGTAGTTACAAGATGTTGTTTGCAGTTAATGTGGTAACATTTCTCTGTTCTTAGAGCTTTCATAAACATCTTCTTGGAAAGAGACATGCAAGGACTGTTCTGGAAAGCCAAGGAAAAGAATTTGAGGAAACAAAGTTCAGGAATTTTAGTCAGGTAAATACAGGTATCTTGTTTGTGGCTTTGCCATCCCACCAGGTGACAAACAATTCAAAATGGGGATAGAAATCTTTATTGTTAATATCATCCCAATGGTGATGGCATGGGAAATTGCCAGTAAAGCTCACGAAGTCCTTCCCTTGTGGGGAGCTTAGTAATTTTTATCCTTTCAGCATTAGGTACTTCTTTAGAGTCAAATCCCAATTGATTATTTTGCTGAACTTTTGTCACCCAGCTTTGAAAACCGTTTACAGTTCACATTTTTTTTTGACAAAAAAGGTCGCAGTGCAGTACAATGTAAGCCAGTACTTAAATCTTTATTGTCAGCAAAAACTTTACATGAGCAATGTAGTCTTCTACATGCAGTTTCAATTGATTCATTTTGCTGGTCTGTTGTGATATTCAAGGGCATAACACCTATAGATAAATCTGGAACAGAAGAGGAGACAACTGCCAATGAATCTGACGACAGGGAGAAGGCGAGTGGTGGAGAGGTACCCAGTCCCTCTGCTGTCCACACTCCTGGTTTTGACCTTAATCTAGACTTTGTTAAATACACGTGTAACACCAGAAAGACAGCCATGAAAGAGGGAGACATCATCACCATCTCATCTGTTACACAGTCAAGGGTCCAGATTGAGGGCTTTACAAGTGGAAGAAACATGTTAGGTGAGGCATAAATTAGATAAGTATCTTTCAGTTTATACAAAGGTCATAAAACTACCATGACAGCCAACCCTTTTATTCCCATCAGTGAGCAGATAGGAATTTCCACTCACAGTGTTGATGCATTTTCAGTCAGAAAGGTGATGAGAAGAAAAACATTATAACTAGGAGAGCTAAAAATTTAAGAATTTTACGAGAGGGTCCAACCAGGATCTCTGATTGTTGCGCTCTGATTAACTTGCCATGGTGAAACGTTTGATTTAGAAACTTTACGGTTTTTTTTTCTCTCTTTTAGGTTGTGAATTTGTCAAAGCTGTGTCAGGATTTAATTGCCGCCTTTGCAAAGCATTCATCCGCTGTGGAAACGATGTGATTACTCATATTAAAGGCAAAAAGCATCAAAAGAACTATCAGGTAAGTTTGTCTTGTTTGTTGTGCTTAATACATGTCGGAGAAAAATCTGCCAATATTTCTAAAGTGGGAGCTAGGGAGAAACTCATGCCAAATTGCGAGTTACTGCCAAAAAAATATGAACTGTTGATAAAAATTACGATCCCCAGACTAAATCGTCTGTTAACACTTTTTTCGTAGACGTATGTCCAGGAGCACCCTCAATATGAAGAACATCAGCTGGCACGGAATAAGGAGTTAGAGCAGGTGTTGGAACCTAAGGAGGGAGAAGAAGTAGTCTTATATGAAGTACTTGATAAGGATATTAAATCAAGTTCCTCAAAGCAGAAAAGCCAACGCAAGGATTCACAGAATGAACAACAGTCAGAGGTTTGTACTGTTTCTTATCAGTTGGCCTTTTATATATTTCTTGCATCGTTTGGGACATAACTACAAGAACAGTTTTTTATGGCTGAGCTGTGTATACCGCGATGTATCCAAGGCAGTTAGCAAACTTAGGTTGTTTAGTATGGAGAATGTTTTGCATTTAGTATTCAAATAGTGTTTTAAACTTAACAGGTACCGATAACAAAATTTGTGGTTGCCCCTGAGGGTGATGATGAAGATGCTCAATTACAGATCAATTGTGACGCAGCGGATGTAGATTTAGACGTAGGAGACCTGGATAACATTAATGAAGATTCGCTTTTGGCAGACCAAAGTGGAGATGAACAGGAAGAAAGTTCTTTAGAAGAAAAGTTTCCTTTATTCGTCCAGGTAGAACAGTTTGGAGATGAAGAAATGCAGGAAAGTGAACCGTCAGGAACAACACCACAACTTGATGTGAGTGCATTCGCCAGCACTACTTGATAACGAATGTCACGTGTTGTGATTGGATCTTTAGTAGAGTAGATCTAGGCAACTGTGATAAAATCTCTTATATGTTTTCCAACTTCCTCAGAAAGGGCCTCTAATATGCAGCTTGATACTAAAGATAATGGGTTATATCAACTACGTTGAAATTGTAAATCGGCCACCGTAACGAATAAAAAAGCTGACGTTTTGAGCGAAGGGCTAACGCTCGAAACGTCAACTTTGTCATTTGTTACGGTGGCCAATTTACAATTTCAACTTAGTTGATATAACCAATTAGCTTGTTATCCCCACCGACGCAGCACCACAATTTCTTTAGAAACTTTCAGCCTTTATTCATTTGATACTAAGGAACTGCGTTTGTATACAGTAGTCGTCTTAGTTTGTCGAGAGACTTATGATTTTAATTTAATTTTAATTTTTAATTTAATTTTGATTTAATTTACTTTTAATTTAATTTTTAATTTATTCCATTTTCACTGCATTAATTGCAGTGGTGAAGGACTAGAAGGGAACATACGAACCATTCGAGCTAGTCCGTCCCACCCATCCCACCCCAGGGGAGGACATCCATCACACAGTAATCTCGTGTGTGGAAATTAACGTCTCCTTTTGTTTGAAGAGAAGAGGTTCCATTTTAGAGCAGTTTCCACTTGAATTTGGTAAAACCAAAGTAGTAATAACAACCAATCGAAGCAAAGGTTAACGTCATCAGAAAATTAGAGCTCCAAGAACAGACAAACTGCACGAAACGCAGGAAAATGCGAGTGTCATCAGGATTGGGTCAAGTTTTGAATTTGATTGGTTGAGAAGGCGAGGCAAGTTTTCTGACCAATCACACAGCGAGATAAAGCAAAATCAAAGCGATCATGGATTACTTTCCAAACTGAGCTGAAAACGGTTCGGATAAACTGAACAAACTAACCTAAACGAAACCTTATCTTGGACCTTAGCTAATTTGTCTTTTCGTTATTTTCACAGGACTTGGAGGACTTCACTCCACTGGCCACTGATGAATCTGTGAACAACGAAGAGGTTGAAGAGCCAAAAGCGCCAGTCCCCGTCCTTCCCAGTCAGAACATTAAAACCGACGAACTCGAGGAGTCAGACGCACTTACGAGTTCACAGGAAGAGGTTGAAGAGCCGCCCCCTGTGAAAGGAACTACCCCCACTGGAAGGCGTGGCCGGAAGAATGCTAAGGGTGGAGCCAGTAGAGGAGCGTCAGCGCGTGGACGGGGGCGTGGTCGCGGAGGAAAACGGGGCACCAGAGCTACGACAGGCGCCGGCAAAACTACAAAAGCTAAAAAGGTGAAAGTAGATGCAGCTCCAGAGAATGACGATTTGGACTTAATGGACGGGTTTGAAATAATAGACGAGATTGGCGGTGGTGAAGATTAGAGTAAAAGACACAAACTTTGTTTATTTCTGCTTTATGTTGAAGTAGTAAGCATTTCTAAGGTACAACGCCTCTTTCGTTACTTTTCGACGTTCTCTAAGGGAAACCACCTTACTCTTATATCTAGAGTTCGAATCCCGTTGATCTTAAAGTTTTAAAAGGAGAATTTGTTTCTAGAAGTTAACATATTCATCGAGTTCTTCTGGTGTTAGTATATCTGTTACTTGCCTTTTCAAAATCAAGCACCTTAATTGACGCGGTTTAAAGCGAGACTAGTCATTTCAGACTCTCCAGATGTTAGACGAACGATTTTAATATTTGTCTTGTTCCTGTAAAACTTTTGCTTAAAGCAACAACTAGCATACAATGGGTACCAACGCAACTTGAATTTTTATCGTAACTTAACTTCTATTGACATTGCAACTGGAATAGTTTGTATTAATATTGGTGATCTGAAAACTTCCAGAAAGGGACATTCTACATGTTGTTCAGGCGTTGTTGTAACCTGATAAAAATTATCACCCGTTCGCATTGTCAACTTGCAAACCTGTAGATTATTTTTCGGCTTAAGAACTTTAATCCTAGGCTTCTTTTTGCAAGAGAAGCGGAATGAGGTTGTATCGCTCTATTTTGCCCGTTACACCAGGCCTCAAGGCGTAGTATTCACAGCAGAAATATTTTCAGTCTTCAAAGTGGAACTCCCATAGCGTTTGACGAAGAAAGAACGGCCAGTTTCAGACGATCACGTTAGTTAACCTTTTGAAGCCCAAAGCCTGGTTCGCACGTGCGATGCAAATGCAAATGCGAGGGAGTTCACACGTCCAACGCAACTGTAAGAAAAGCGAGATACGCAAGTGCAGTGGAAGTATTATTCCAATATGGCCAACAATGATTAAGCTTTTGCCGCAACTTTTTCCTCAACATGTCTTATTATTCGTTTTTGTTTTAAACTGTTTCCTGAATGGTTCAATTTTGAAGTTCTGTTCTGCTAGTTCCCTTGAGTTTTCCTTTACTTTCCCTCATGTTTGGCGTAATACGGTTTACTTTTTACCACTCTTGCTCCTTGAACCTGTTCGAAGTGATCTTGCACCAGGCTGAACCTGCTATTTGTTTTGTACGAAAGAGGGATTACAAAGAGTTCCCTCTTCTTTTCCCTGCGATTTTAGAGTACCGGAAATGAAACGCCAGATCGCTGTGCTCCTACCTTCATCCCTGTGTCGCAACACTAGAACCCTTAGCGATTGTTTTTGTCTCGTTAACAGTTAAGTTATCCTCAGGAGAAGTTTCCAATGAAATGATGTTTCATTGTTTCCTTGAGAACGTACAGGAAAGTATAGAAACTACGGAGAAATGCGGCAGGACGGATACAACTCTTTACACCCCAACATAAGCGTATATATTCTCCGTACTGTTCTCTATACATTTTACAAGGTGCGGACGAGGAGAATTTGTTTATCAATCAAGAGCTACTTCAGTTGGTGATCATAAACTGCCATTGAACGGGGACTTTACGCAATACATAACTTACATCACTAACTACTTTTAACGACTAACTCTTGAAAGGTGTTTTACAAGCTTGGAACCTCAACAGGTGTCAACTATTACCACCGCCATACAAATGACTCATTCACGACATTAACATTACACACGAACCGAACAGAACGACCCAACTCCACGAACAGATCGAATGACACCAATCACGACCGACTTATGCGACTTGAGTGTTACAGCCAATAACATCACGGCAAAACTGAGCAATCGTTTTACACGAACTGGACTTAGAACATGCGACTGACAACAAATATTCACTTAACTTTGATGATGACTTCACCTCAGGTTGTCGAAACGCCATTTACCACCACCGACGATAGTCTTTCGCAGGACTACATTCACCCGGACTTTTAAGACTACACTATCAAATCTTTAATGCGTCGTTATGTTATGCGCAATGGATATGTTCTTGCTTATAGATAAAACAGTTGTTTTATGTCTTGTTTTAATTAAGCTTTCCTTGTTTACAACAATAAGATCAGTAAAAGAATACAGCCTTTATCAATTGTATGGTCGCCTAATGCTCTCGATAAAAATGCTTTTGCTGAGCTCTAGTGTTGTCATCTTTATTGGCGTACCATATATCTCTTAGGCTAGGAAGTGAGCCGACTGTCCAATTTTCTAGCGGATTCTTTCTCTGAAACCATGCAAACTGGAGTGCGTCAAGCATTTGTCTCTCAGATTCAAGGGGGCAGGGCTGCGATTCAAACCTGTCCTTTTGTAAATTTGTGTCTGGTTTGTTGATTCCAGTCGAGCTATAAAGCGAATATCTCAACGTCAGAAACGAAACGCGAACGGTTGGATATAAACTAGACCCTTCCGAGCGTTCAGTGAGGAAAACGAAGCACGACTGTAAAAGACGGTTTGGGTCGGGTCGCGACTCAAACCTTCCTCGTTCTAGCTCTACCGCTCAACTTCTTACCCAGATTCTACCGTGCAATTGTAACTGAAGCGCAACTAAGTGTCCGTGAAAGGTATTTCGCTCCGTTTTACTAACTCGTCGAATGAAGTTCATTTATCCTGGCCGTCGACAATTATTCAAACTTTCTTTTTTTCTTTAATGGGCTAGAATCGAGAGATGATATGACAGTAAGGGAATATGAACTGATATTTTCTTGACGACCCGTTGTTATGAAATTCCTCTTACCTTGATCCTTCGTTCATATGCTGAGGTCTGTTACCCCTAGCAATTTGCGCAAGTTTTTCCAGGCAAATCTGTTCTTCTAAAGCTTGAATTTCTCCTTCCATCTCCGCTTTTATCTTTAATAGCCTCTTTCTCTCTGACGGTGATAGCGTGCATTTCCTGCGGTGGGAAAAACGTTAATTTTTTTTTAAAGTAAGGTATGTTACTGTTTTGTTTTCCGATATGCGATTGAAGTAATCGGGGATAGAGTTTGAAAATACTCACACACACGCACACAATACCCACACATACACAAACAACAAAAACAAAAAGCGGGGAAAATAGTGGCTCTGAACTTAGTTCAATTGTTTTGTTCGTTTGCTAGTTCCTTGTTTTTTTTCCTCTCTTTTTCATGGGTAGAATTTCAATAAGCTTTTTGGACTCTTTTTCTCAACTTTCGGGACTTTTTGATAATCAATGGGTGTGATGGGTTCCATAACGGTCATACAGTTGTTATCTTGGACAGTGGGTGCTAATAATGGCACTGTAACTGTAGGAACTACATGAGCGAGTACTATGTTTTCTTGTGCAATCTAGTATGGCTGAGGAAGTTGGGATGACTTCTTTGAACTACAGCTCAGGTAACTTCGGCTAAAGGTCAAACTGTGTCACTTCAATGAAAAAGTGTCAACGCAGTAAAAGAGTTTAAAACTCCAAGACCTCAAACCTTTTCTGTTTCTTTCCCCGCTCTCTTGTTTGTTTGTAAGTACTCCAAGCAACACCCATTCAAGGTAGGTCAATAGTCAGCTGTTCCCTTTGCAAAACACGTGCAGAGCAAAAGACTTTTTCAACTGAAACGTTTCCTTTATTACGAAACATACGAGGAACAACGCGCGTGCTTGAATCAGCCAATAGGATCCGCGTCCTTTGTATTCCTTCAAAGCACGCGCATTGACACCCACAAGTTTGCGTTTGCGCGGACTCCAACACGCACACTTTTAATACTGACCATCTTAAGGACTCTCTACAGGATTTTGAAAGCTACGAAAGGGTTAGGCTCGATTTCCGCCGCTGTCTCGCGTCCAGTCGTTCTCGTTCCTCCTCCTTCGGGGAGGAGCGCGGGCTGTTTTGAAACAGTTCCCGAGCTGCGGTCTGTTTTGAAAAAGTAACTGGACTTTGAAATCTGATGTTGATCATAATCCTGTCAGACCACTTGAAAGCTCGGTATCCTTTCTAAGCGGGCGTGCTAATGTGAATTATAAGTAAGAGCTGGTTCAAAAAGAAGGCTTTTTGAAGGAAAGCGCATAACTTGAAAGGACAGCGACACTCTTGTCGTTCTAAGGTCACACGGGGCCCTAGCTATCCATGAGGGAATGCATGAGCATCGCAAGCGCTCTAGTAAGAACAGAAAGCTTTGTATGGGAATTTACGCTCCGCTCTGTAACTCCGTAAATAATAAAGCAAATAAACTTTGACCGTCAGATGGTGTGTTTTGAGCTATGTTGTTAACTGGTAGCGATTTCAGGCCATTTCGTCGACTTTTAGCTGAGATCTCATCCCACTACTACCTATACTAAGGAGAAGGCAGCAACAAACAACACTATCTGAAGGTTAGCATCTATTTGCTTTATCATCTACGGAGTTACAGACCCAGAGTGGAGCGTGAATTCTCATACAAAGCTTATACAGTAGAGCGGTTGTAGTTTTATCCTCACTTGGATAGCTCCCTATGGACAGGTTTCAAGGGAAAACATTTGGTTTGTACGGGCAGCACATCCCATCACGAAGTTTTCATGAGGTCATTGTGACCCCTCTGATCTTCGCCGGCGGATCCGGAGCTTCTTGACCTTTGTTACTCAATTTTTGGTACGTGGGTCGCGCATGGTTTTGTTGCAGCTAACTTGCGAAGATGATTTCTCTACATGATTGTCATCTGCATTCTAAATTGAATTTATTTCATTGAAAGCTGTGAGCAGATAGAAGAACCCTCTAAAGTTTCCCTCGCTATCAACATGTGGCTTCGTGGCTCGTGAGTCAAAAGTACGAATCCTGTCGAAGCCTGAATGTTTATACCATTCTTTTTACTTGATCATCTTTCATTGGAAAGGGTAATAGGGTGATAACCTACGATCTACAATAATTCGCATGGAAAACTTAAAATGTATCGGAAAACTGGCAGTTTTGTGACCTTTTGCGTTCATGGAGCACCCTGAGAAAATGTAATTTCTGACGTTTGAGTGACATGGGAACAAATTAGTCAGAAATTAATATTCTGACGGCACATTGAAGAGGTTTGCGTGGTATCACGGTAGTTTTTTAATTATTTAAGCGTTTCGCGGGAAGGTTAAGTCATTCTAGGTCGGTCAGTCTTAGGTTTGACCACTTTCTTTTTTCATATTAATGTAATTTTGTTTTTCAACTCTCTGTAAAATATCACTGCTTTCATTGAATTTTTTGTGTGATCAGTAGCGTAACTAAGTTTATTTTAATTGCCCTTTCCTCGGGGTATAGTGCTGCTGAATTAGATGAGGAATACGTTTCCACGTAGTGGTTTTTAGTATCTGGCGTTGCACGGGCTATTTTTGAATAACCCTTCAGTTTCAGTTAAAACTTGCAGCACATTGCAGATTGTGATAGGACGCGTATTCCACAAAGCTTGCTGACTCATCCTAAATAAACTTTCACATTGAATATCCCGCCTGAGTGTAGTCAGAATCATAGCCTGATCGATGACGTAAACCATTAATCCAAATAAGATAGTCAGGAACTTTCCCACTTTCTGCGCCCAGGTGGGATGGTGCACTTCGTTAACCAATTTACGCTCTTGGAATAAACAAACGTTTATATTTATAACGACGTCATTGTTCTCCTTGTTTTTTTTTAGGTACATTTTCCGTGGGCATTTGTACATTAAAATGCCGAAAAGGCCTTTCGTCGTTCCATTACATCATGTTGCCATCGTCACGTGATACTCGCGTTCGTATCAAATTTCGTGGTGTAACGCCATACTGCAAGAAGGGCCTCGCTTTGGTATGAATAATACTTGGACCAGAGTTAATAGAGGGAACTCTGGTCGGAGGAAGCAGCTGCGATTCAAGAGTAAGTGGGGGTTCTTATTCCTTTTATTACTTGTTTAGGTTAGTGTTGAGCTAAGTCAGACCTTCAAGTATAGCAAATTAGAGTGAAATAGATTACCTTGGTCCAGGAGCAAACCAAGAGCACGTTGAATGAACATTTCTAACGAAGCGCGCGGTTTCTGTACTTTTTGTAACAATACAATACAATACAACAAGGGGCGCTTTACTCTCAAACAGAAGGTCTAATCGTGGATGCACACATCTCTTAGTTTGGTTTATTTCATTGTTATGAACATATTTTAGTTTCGAGGTTCATTTTTGGAAGTAAAACATCGAAGAGCTATTTGGGTTGCTCGCTCAAGCCTTGCGCATTTTTTTCGGAAATCGGAGTTGGCAAGTTGGTCGTCCAAAACTTTGCCATCACTGCAGCTAGTATCCCTCGCAACTGTTCTCCTTTTTAGACTCTCAAGCCGACTGTATGTTTTCCCCAGAGTTGACTCTGAAAAGAAAGCTAAGAAAGATATTGATTTCATTTGTATTTGCTTGTTTAGAATCTGCGATAAATTTGTGTTCGAAAGAAACCTGATGACAGATGTTGAGGAATGTCAAGCGGGCCTCAAGTTGGTCAAGACGAGTCGGCCAGTACAACGAAAGCTGTGATTTTCTCGACGCTTGATGATTCAAATTAAGGTGTCAGCCCGTTGTTTGTCCAAGTGCCTGCGTTTACACTCTCCGTTACGACAGCAGACCGGTAACTCTGGTGATCCATATGGTTTCAGTGTACCAGATGAAACTCTTTGATCTTTAAGATCATTAAGATGTGAAGCACCGCCGTGGACTTGTGATCTTTTTCGGGTACAAACACGAGGTTCAAAACTGTAGTGAGTATTACCAATTTAATGTTCTCATGATAATGACTCAAACACACATTTCTAGGAATTTCAGAGGAGAGAAGAACATTGAGAGGGTGGACAGAGTTAAATTTACTCAACCCAATTTTAACCTCAAGATTTTCCATTAAGAAAAGTGCATGTGCTTCTCTCAAGGAAAAAAGGAGATGCCTCTTTCGAAGGTGCTCTTTCTTGCCATTCTTCCAGCTAACCACAAAGTCTCTTTTTCCAGGGGACTGCCTAAAAATTGAGTCTTGCACATAAAGTAAGTAAACTTTCTGCTTTACTTCTGGGTTCAGGTGTAAGTTTCCACCAAAATCCTTTTTTCTTTTCTTTGGAAGATGAAAGCCTGTAAAAGAAGCTAATTTTTCTACAACAGCTTTCCTCTTTCTTGGGCTTTTTGGTAAGTATGGCTTAACTTTTCCAACAGCCTTTCCCAGTGCTTGTGGTGTACCATAAGGATTTATGCCATGGTCTTGACCTTCTTGCTCTACCTTTCTCTTTTCTTTCTTAATCATTCTATGTTTCCTCACACCGTCCCAATTAAACTTCCTTTGTTGGGCAATTTCAGCTGCACTCTGAAACTTAGGCCTCCTTCTTTCAGCTTTCTTTCTTTCTCTATCTTTGGTTTTGTAGACTTCATGCAACTTCGAATTCTCTTTTAACTTTTTGCTAAATTTTCCTGAACTTTCACCAGTCGTCTGGGGCATTGCAATAATAAAATTGACTTTGTTTGCAATATAATATACAGAAATGGATAAATTGGAACTGAGTAGCTGGTCAGGGGTTTTGAACTTCTGAGCATGCTCAAAACTGGCTGTAAGTATGCTTTTTGAGGAAAGCCACTGACCATCACTGCAAGCTTCTTTTAATTTTCTACTCAAATGTGAATGAGTATTTTTTAAAAAAATCTGATTGCATGGTATTGCATGATACTAGGTCAGCAGGAGAAATATGTAATAAATGAAGTAGATGATAATTTTACAGCTTCATTTTTAGACAAGTAACTACAGAACAGATGGACAGCCACAGTCAGCAACACTGACTAGAAAGTGAATGATAAAAAATACGTTCCCAAAAATGCAACATCTGCAACACAGAACTTTTGTTTGCAGAATCACTGGAACGAGGTTTCAAGGAATGTTTTTTGATAGGTGAAAAATTTAATTATTGCCGTGTTTTGAAAGCACAATTAAAAATCTCTTTAAAGAAAAATCTCTTTAAGTGGTTGTTTAAAATGTGATGTTTGCAACACACTTTCTTCAATGCATGCCTTCAAGGTCTTGAGTGCTCACTAAAGCATCTTTTTATTAGGTGCAAAGGGCACACTAAAGGTATTTTCTAGATATGTTTAAACACCCTCGTTGAACATTTTGACATTTAAATTGAGGTTTAAAATGTTAATTTTAGTCTCTGAATGTAATGTCCGCAACATGGAATCACCCACATGCAAAAATGTTTAGCGATTTTTATCTTTAATCTTGATTTTTGAGTAAAAACTTAATATGCACCTATTGCTTTTTTTGTCGCAAATAAGTTCTTTAATTAGTCTTCTTTCACTGGAGCTTGTTTTTTGGAAAAGATAATGTTTAAAAATTTACTGCGTGTCGTGTTTGCTTTTTTGGTTTCTCCAAAATTTTGACTTTTCGTAGGCCCGTGTTACACGGAAGTGTCAATGGGTTAAACACAATCAGATCTCCCTTGACCCAGTTTTTCAGTCATTTACTATTAGCTGACTTGAACCCCTCCTAACTCAGCCATTTTTTTTGTCCCTATGGAGTTTGAGTTGGTGGGGGTTCTACTGGAATTTTCCAGAGATTTTACAACAATTTGGGTGCTTTTCAGATGTAATGAAGAGTTTAATGAACTCAACTATGACAGCATTAACTCATATCTCAACAAATATTCACAGCAATTTAAATTTCATGATGGAAATCCAGGACTCTCCTGATAAATAAAAATTAAAAGACAAAATAAGTAAGAAATAGTGTAAAACTTGAGGTAAAAGTCACTTTTCCTCATAAGTCTGGGTAAAGTCTGTGAAATGTAATTTTCAACTTGTACTGTTGATCTATTTCAACATGATCTCTTTACCTCATCATTCGACCATCTTGGTTCCCAATTTACTATATCAGCCATTGAAGATTTTGCAAACTTGTGTCACAAGGGCATTTCTCTCTGGATGGTTTTGAGGTCCTTCCACGAGAGCCCATTTCCCTTGTGGGATGTTCTTGGAATGTCATTAGTGTGAGTTGGACTTACCATTGCCTCTCTGTGTGCAGCAATAGGTGCCTTCCTGCTAAGCATGAAACAATGGTTTATATCATGACATTCCTCCTTTTCAAAGGTGATGTAATTTCTGAGTTTTCTCCTTCAAAAAATCACCAAGGAAAACTTGTTCCAGCTCTACATCCTCTCACACTTTGGCCAAGACTATTTCCTCTTTGCCACTCTGTCCAAAAAACTTCACTCAAATCAAGCAACTGTTCAGAATTTAAAGGTATTATCAGGAATAGTATGGGGAACAATGCATGATATACTTATGTAGTTGATATTTCAAAATATGGACATTATACACCCAAGATTAACTAAACTTTACCTCAACTTCAACTTTGTTCATTATGGCAAATATTAGAGAAAACAATATCCACTGCCTGCAGTTAGCAGATTAGCTAGTCAAGGTGAGCAGTGGTTACACGTATGTTATATAATATACAAATACAATTGGCTCACAAGAAAGACTAGAGAAAAAGAGTTACTCACCCCTTGTGTGTCGGTTGTGGTTTGAGGCAATCTCTGCTAATTGGGCTTGCTTTGTCATCACTATTATTCTGGTTATGAGTCAAGGTTGCACATTGTGATTTTGACCATTGTCCATTCCACAGGCTCAAATGACTTGAGTCTGTGGTGAAAAACTTTTTACTGTTAGAAAAAAGTTATGTTTGTAGGGAAGACTTGTAGCAAAACAAGTTTGTTACCCAGCAGACACCATACACACATTCATTCATACTAGTGTGTGGAGAATGAAAATAATAAATGCCTCCTGCATAAATTGTAGGTGGTGTTGTAAAATGTTTTGTACATGCTTGTCTCATCAAATGCAACACAATGCTTTCTTAACAATTTTTCACTAAATGCATATTCTTATAAAATACTTTTTGTCAGCGATATATTACTTGCTACCTAACTTTAGACATTAGGTCTTCTGGACTTTTGTTAGCCTATTAATGTTGGTTAGCAAGTGGCCAAAATTGTTAGTGTCTATTAGTGACAGTGGAAGAATGTGTATAGACACTAGCTGAAGGAGAAATAAATATCAGTAACTCCCCTGAGTGGTAAGGGCCATATACTGGTCAGTAAAGTGACAGAAGTAACTTGAAAGAATATAGAATAAGTGACATGTTAAAATATAAAAAAATAATTTTGAAATGCATAATTTAGTCTCAACTAAAAAAACAAAAGTAGTGATAATTGGAATTTAAGACTGTAGATTACACTCCATATAGAGTTTTTAATTTGTACTTTTACTCTGGGTCAGGAATGTTATGTCAGTACATGTTGCTTTGGTGGTGGTGGATGGCTGGTGGTGTGCGCTTTGTGATTTCTGGCTGTCCCAAGTAGCCATTCGGTATGATACAACTTGCAATTCTGTGCAGGATTTTTCTTTGACAGTTATTAAGTAAACTGAAATCCCCCACATGATGTAAGAGGAGGGAACTCACTGAATGTCCTGAAACTTTCTGGTGCTACTAAACTGGTTCTGAACTGATGAATATGGAAGTTCTATCTCCTGACTGGTTCGTCAAAATACAGCACAACTCGTCAAAATACTCAGTGATACTACACAACAAAACGTCTAATAAGTTACTTATTATCCAACACGCCAAACTGTTATTTCAGTGCAGGCAAATTTCACGGATATTTATTTACGAGGAGTGCGTGACAGAAGTATGCAAAGCGGAACGGAATTGGTGTGTTATTGTGTTGCTGTTTCTATTTATCTTCATTTAATGAAGAAATTTCTGGTTGTCAAGCTGTTTTTCTTCGTTCGATTCATCTAGTGAACTTGGATCTATATTTGCCAACCATTCTGACTCTTCGTCGTCAGAAAAATGATTCAAATTGTCCACCACTTTTTTTTTCGTAACTACAATCCAATTCTTCGCTTGTGCGTTGCGAGAAAACCTGTTTAACTGGTACTACATTAGACAGGTACAAATACCGCATGATATTTGTACTCGTCTATGGCGTTATTTGTACTTGTCTTGGTGTAGTTGGATAATAAGAGCTCATAAGTTTTAAAGTTTTGTGAATTTTTTGTTGAGGTTGGCTTAATTTGTTGAACACTATGGAGAGTACTAATATTGTGGGTTGTAAAAATAAAAATAATAAAAAATTCAATATCAAGAAATTAACCAGTATCATTACCTATAATAGTTAAGGTTTATTATAATTTTGTTTGAAAGCCATGGCTGGGAAGATACTAGTTTTAAGCAGTCTAGTCAATATGGTTGGTGAATCACACTTCATGGCCACGAACAGTAGCGTGCTGCACTGGGACATTCACAAACAGATAAGAAGCTAGGTTGTGGGTCTTGCAATAGGTTTTTTAATGAAATGCAACAGGTTTTTCAATCAAATGCTGTGCCTCCTTTCCATTTAAAGGAGGTATGTAATTCTGGTAGAGTGCTTTGTCATAGCTACAACATGGATAAATCATTCTTATGATGCACTTCTGGATGTGCTTAAAGTGGTTGCTGAGATACTGTAGAGGGTTATTACTCCACACATTTGGGTTTATGGAGTTCTTATTTGCCTGTGTCGAGATGTTGACCAGGTCATATGTACTGTATGGTTGATGATTGAATGGGTATAAGATCTTTTGTAACAGGAAAGAAATCAGTTGAGCTGCAATTAAGGTTCAGAGATCTTTAAACCAGTTCTAATAATGATATAACAACAACCAGAGTTTGAGCTAGGATTTGATCACTGGGGGACAATTTGTTCTCTTGGCTTAAATTTTGGGGGACATTTTTATTTCTAGGGGGACAGGCAAATTAATTTTTATTAAACGTTTTTTTTACATTCATACAGGCAAGCTAACGAAACATTTTTTTTCACCTGATCCTTGATACAAACAAAAGTTTAAGTTATTGGTGTGAAGACTTTTTTTTGTCATATTTAAATGGAGGATCGATGACTCTGCTTTATACTTCAAAACATTTCACAGCAGAATCTCGTCCCGGCATCCCCTTGTAAACTTCATATCCTTTCTTAATTACTGGTAGAAGCACATGTCCTAATTCTTCTGTTGGTTCTTGCCCAAACGTCAAGGGCTGTAGAAAAGTCAAAGTCCTTGGAAGGTGGCCCCTCAATGTCAGTGGTCATGAGTACATCCAGTCTCTCAGCTTTCAGTCTGTTTCTCAAAGCATTCTTAATTCGATTCTGTGCGCTAAAACCTCTTTCACAGCCAGCCGTATTAGTACGCAATACAAGTGAGACTTGACAAAGCTAAATTAAATTTTGAACTTCATGGCTATGATGGGTAGCGAGCATTTTCCATAGTTCATGCAGTGTGGCCCAATGCTCTCTAACAACCAGCTCTTTAACAAAGTTACATTCAATTCTGCATTTTTTGGCATCCACAACTGCTAGTACATCTTTACCACCTTGGGTTTTCTTTGTAGATCCATAATGGGAAAGCAACATTTACAGCTCTTCATTTCCATTGGTTGACAGATTTTCATTTTGAAAACACACATTGCAGAGACTAAGAATCCTTAATGCATTAACTACATTTGTGGAATCTACGGGGAATCACTTTTCAAGATTTAGTAAGACACTGTCAAGGAATTTCATTTTCATTGATTCAAATTGTTGAACTTCACCGGCAGTCACTTTAATAGTGTTCTCTCTCCACTTAACTTCTGAAACATCATCTTCTGATGGCAAAATCTCGGACAAGAATTTGCTGTTGTTACTCTTAAGAGCTGTTATTTGAGTAATAGTTGATTTCACCAGTGCCTGAACTGACACAAGCTCTACATGTTCCTTTTGCAAAGCAAGGCTCAAGAATGTGAGAATAGGAATTACATCCATCATCATGCAGAGGGTGGCAACAAAATTGAACTCCTTCAGGCTCTTTTTGAATCCACAGGCTTTATCATCACTGTTGGGTCGGGATTCCATGTAGGCCACAAGAGATGGCCAAGTGTGGTACATTGTCTCCAGAGCACCGTAGAATGAAAACCACCTGATATCAAACACTTCCTTGATTTTTAGCTCAGGATGTTCAAAGATCTTCTGAAATTCTGCCAGTGACTGTGACCGAAGGGCAGACTTGTCAAAATAGTGGTACAGAGCAGTAAGGATCTCTTTGAATTTTGCCAAATAAAGAATACCATTAGCCGCTTGGCTTGTGCAAAGTGCAAGCCTGTGAGCCATGCAGTGGATAGACACAAGAAATGGACTATCGTCCTTCATTCGATTTGAAACTCCATTGTTTTTTCCTTTCATGACACTCACTCCATTGCTGCTGAATCCTGTCATTTTGTCTTTGTGCAAGTTTCTCCTTTCCATTATCAAGTTAACAGCAGCGGTAATAGTTTCCGCCTTTCCATCCCGAACATTGATGTTTTCTAAAAAGTGCAGTTCTGGTTTAAATTAATTCAATAACTTAACATAAACAACAAGGTTTTCATGATTACTGATGTCCGTTGATTCATTGATTAACAGAGAAAAGAATGGGCTGGCTTCTACTAGTTTGTCAATGTTAGACTTCAGAACAGTAGCAATAGCATCTTGCATACCTTCGACACTTTGATGAGATCGGTAGGTAGCATTTCCTNCCACGTAGGCTGTAACCATTACTTCGCAGAGAAAACAATTCCTGAATGTAGTTCGGTGTCTGGTTATGAATACTTTTATATACAAGTATAAGTGCTTGTTCTATGCGTCGATGTTCTAAACTTTTAATATTTGCAGTTTTCAATAACTCTTCGTAAGCAGTCGACTTAGAATAATTGAGAAGAGTCCTCAGAGCGAATGCATTGGTTGACTCCAGTTTCGCAGACAGACCCTTACTTAGACCTATAAACAGTGGTGATGCATATTCGAAGTGAGGGAGAATGAAAGCTTTGTACAATTTAATCATCACATCTGAGGGTATAAATTTACGAATGCGACGGAGAATTGAAACTTTTGTATTCACTTTCCGGCAAACTTCTTTAATGTGTACGTTGAAAGAGAGTGAATTGTCGATGACTACTCCAAGAAGCTTCATATGTGTAACGTAATCCAGTTCATTACTGTCAATAACAAAGGGCGTTGGTAAAGTTGCTCTGTTGAAAACTATGGATTGAGATTTACTATGATTGATCGCCAGAAAGTTCTCACAAAACCAGGAAGCGAGTAGACCAACGTTGTTTTGTAGATTTATTTGCAAGGTAGATGGACAGAGGTTTGAAGAGTACCCAGTAGTGTCATCAGCATAAAATCTTAGAGAGCACGAAATATCTGAAAAATTCACATCGTTCATGTATATATTGAAGAGAAGGGGGCCCAAGATTGAGCCTTGAGGAACTCCACACCTCACAATTTGCCAATCCGACAAAACACCGTCAGTCTTGACATGTTGCTTACGGTCAGTCAAGTAAGAACGTAGAAGTTGTAAGGCGTCTTTAGTTACACCATAAGCTGACACCATTTAGCTCAGGATGTTCAAAGATCTTCTGAAATTCTGCCAGTGCCTGTGACCGAAGGGCAGACTTGTCAAAATAGTGGTACAGAGCAGTAAGGATCTCTTTGAATTTTGCCAAATAAGGAATACCATTAGCTGCTTGGCTTGTGCAAAGTGCAAGCCTGTGAGCCATGCAGTGGATAGACACAAGAAATGGACTATTGTCCTTCATTCGATTTGAAACTCTATTGTTTTTTCCTTTCACGACACTCACTCCATCGCTGCTGAATCCTGTCATTTTGTCTTTGTGCAAGTTTCTCCTTTCCATTAGCAAGTTAACAGCAGCGGTAATAGTTTCCGCCTTTCCATCCCGAACATTGATGTTTTCTAAAAAGTGCAGTTCTGGTTTAAATTAATTCAATAACTTAACATAAACAACAAGGTTTTCATGATTACTGATGTCCATTGATTCATTGATTAACAGAGAAAAGAATGGGCTGGCTTCTACTAGTTTGTCAATTTTAGACTTCTGAACAGTAGCAATAGCATCTTGCATACCTTCGACACTTTGATGAGATCGATAGGTAGCACTTCCTCCTACTCGAAGATTCTCAACACTTTCGAGGCCAACTTCATCCAGAAAATTGAGCAGTGAGTTGTACTTGACTGTTGCCATATCCTCCTTGGCCAGCCAGTAGAGGCCTCTCATTGCTGTTAGGATGGCTTGCGATTCTGCTCTAAAAACACGGCGCTGTGTGTTGCTGAATGTATCCCTCTTAGCTTCTTCACTTACAGCATCCTCATGTTCTTTACAGTCTTTGCAGAGTTGAGGTTCTAAAATTAGTACACCCTTCTGCCGATGTAAAGGGATTTGTCTTCTTAGATTTCCGACAAAAATAGCAGAACACTGCCTCCTTTTCATGGCGCAACCATGTGTGATCTCACAACCAAGTTTCTGGAAAATTCGTGGTTTCTCAGTTTCCTTTGATCCTCATCCATTTCTTCCTATTCTTCTGTACCATTTTTCACAGATTCACTCTGGCTTCGATTTGGAACGAAAAAGCTTTCTAATGTTCAAACACGTTTTCAATGTGACATGTCACACCAAATGTAAAGTTCACCACACTTGGTTGAGCATGAGACGCATGTGTTCAGTAGAGCATGACTGAAACGTGACTTTAGAATGAAGTTTTTAAAACGTACGATAAAATATACTTTCCAGGTTCTGTTTTAGATGTGGCTAAATTTCTGTACTGAATTAAATCTCTGNACATTATTTTGTGAGATGCCACATGAAAAACTACTTGATACTGAAATGCAAAAGAAATCAATTAAGCTGCAAAAGGTTCAGATATTCTATTGTCCAGATAGTATTACTTTATGGCAAGAAGTAAATGGTTAAACTAATCCATGGTAGTTGGCTGCATAACCCTCTCTCCAGAGTCTAGCTAACTTGCAAAAGCCAAAGAAGAGTGATAATATACTGGCAATCCACCTTTTAGGGAGATTCTCATCAGTGCATCAACAGTTGTAACATCAAGTGGGGTTTAGACCTAAAGTTGGACATTATTCTGTTCAGACAGGAGTTGGAAAAACATTGAAACCCTGAGACATCATGGTAAAAACTGTCAAGACTTCTTCACAGACAGGCACCCTAGAAATGTTTCAACAACAAAACAACTTTCTGAACAATCCTGCTGATGAACTTCAACTGCTACAGATGGCAGAATTAAACTAGAGAACCTTACAAGATTCAACAGTTAATTGCACTTAAGCATAGTTTACCACAAGGAAAAACAACACATTCCTTTTTTCTTTTTACATTTGTGTTACCAGTGGTAAAAACAGGTAAATACAACATGTTCCTTGTTTCTTTTTAAATAATAATAACAATTGTAATAATGTAATATTTATTTTGTGCATTTTCTGTAAACTAATCAAATGTGCATTACAATCATTATAAATAAATACAAAATAAGAACCTATGTACAATCATTATGAAATCAACAAGGAAAACTACACTATTACATTTGGCTATAGGAAAAGTAATGTGCAGAATAAAGAAAGTAGATAAAATCCTAAGTATAAACTAATTAGACCAACAAAATGCCTTCCTGAATAAAAAAGTCTTGAGGTTATGTTTAAAATCACTTTTGGTGCAAGCTGATCTAATACTTATGGGAGGACTGTTCTAAAGTGGTGGCGCTGCCACCATGAAGGATTGATCCCCCTGGTAACTTGTGTGAAATTCTTTAGGGTGTTCATATTTGTGATTAACGGTGGTAAATGTATGCAAGTTTTAGGAAAATCAATTTGTGTGTGGAAACATAATATTTTCTAACATATATTTATCATCTCTGTTTCTTTCTTGTCTGTCAAACTATTCTTAACATGAACAACAGGATTTCTTCCTACACATTGAAAAACAAATGCCATTCAAAACACATCTTGAAAACTGAAGTTGTCTTGACTCTGATAAATTTATGACAGTCATAAGCTGTTTGACCAATTCTCAACAAAGTCAAGATTTTCTCTTGCACTGGAAAGCCCATGTCACAGTCAGTAGTGAATACAGCACATGTACCTTAAATTTTACTTGAAGTGATTCCATACTTTCTTTGACATAATTTATTCTCTAATGCAGTTACTACTTCGATCCTGTTCTTAACATGAACTTACTTTGGGCTGTTTTGCAATTGACAGCTGTTTGCCCCTACAGATGCTTAATGGCCCTGAAGAAAATCTTGTAAGTTTAGCTTATGAAAGCATTAGCCACAGGAAGAGACCAAAAGAATCTATAAAGTCTGAGAACAAACATTAAATGAAATATGTGGACCACTGACCGTGAGCCTAAAATAATGCAATTTAATGGCATTCACTCCATAGCAACATACTGCTCCACTTTTGGGGTTGGTTTTCTAAGTATACTAAACTATCAGTGGTGATGCTGATATTTTCAACAAATTACATTTTGTTTACCCTGAGCATATAAATAAAAGATTGATAAATAAGTGAAAAAATAGGTAAATTAATGAATAGATTTAATTCTAAATGAAAAGGTAACCAGCTCACAGATGTCTTGTAGTTCTTACAATCTCCTGGGTCTTTGTGTAAGTAGGGGTTGGTGGTGGCTTTTTCTCTTACTTGCTGGCAAGTCTTGGAACTTGACAATCCAGACTTTCCTTTTTCATTTCTTTTTGAAGTTGTCACATGAATATTTTTTTGCATATTGCAACATCACATGCAGGCAGTGTGGCCGAGGGGTTAGGGTGCAGCACTTGTAATCTGATGTCAGGGGTTCAAGTCTTTCACCCCACTACTCACTGGATTTGTTTTTGGTTGCTGTTTCGCAACACGGGTTTGGGTACTTCACTGGTTTTGAATATTCACCAGGAAAACAAAGTCCCTAGAGTCTATCAATGTTTTGGACTAGTTTATTCAGCAAGTTTTGTTTTGCACACGTGTTAGCTAGTCAACTGAAAGCAAAAAATACTTTTGAGGGTCGCTTATATCAGATATAACAACAACAGAAGCAACAAGAGAGCTTTCTAGAATACATATAATGTTGATATACTCACAATTCTGTAAAACATTATCCTGCTTAAGGCACGATATTTTCCAGCCCTTGCACAAAGGCAGAAAGCACACATTTTGGATGAAGCACGGACCCGTCAACCTGATCTGAGATTCCCTCCTGCTGCTTTCTTAATGTAACTCGTGTTTATGAACTAATCTTGACAGCCCATGATATGTTAGATAGACAAAAAATGCTTTATTTTAAATAAACAAATGCTTGAATAAAAACATCTGTCAGTGAAGTGCAAAACAGTTGCCCCTAGTTCAACTCCTTGGCTGCACTCTGTAAATTAGCCCACTGGGCTGTCTCCTGCCAGTGGGGATTTTCAAGCACCTAGTTGGTATACATTGTGGCTGAAAAGCCCCACTGGAGGAGCTTCAATTAATGTATTTATTGTTATTGTTGTTATTATTATTATAATAATTATTATTTATATTACAATTTTTGTTGGTGTATGAAAAAAATTGCAAGCCGTTCCTGATCAAAATTAATTTCAAAGTGTCTGCTGAGGTTGCAATGGTTGTTGTAAGTCACTTTGAGTCTTAATCTACTTCTCCAGCAATATGGTCATTAATAACAGCATTTTCAGTGGTGAATAGAGACTTGTAACAT